TCGTAATTGTTAGTATAAATAACGTCCGGTAATAACGCGAAACAATGTTCGTCCTACACGAAGTGCATTCGTCAGTAGCGCGCGTTGTAGGAAACGAATAAATAACTAAATATCGGCAGAAATTGCATTCCGTGCATTCGGGCTGGAAAGGTTATGTTGTAATGCCGCATATTTACCAACTATCTCACTAAACTTATTAGACGGTTGTGTTAACGATTATTGCGCGCAGAGGAAATCGGCTATAATTACAGGCAGAAGTGTCAACGAGACCATTCAGAGAATTCCAAACGATTTTTTCTACTTTCGTGTCCACCGCTTTCATTTATTGATAAAACAGTTTCATCGTTGGGTAAGAGGTGATTAAGGTGATACACCTACCGGCCATTTGAATTTTTTACCAACAATTAAATATCTGCTGTTTTTTGCGATCATAAAAATTAGAATTTGCTACTGCCTAGCTTTCAACAATTATTCGGCGGCAATTATATAAGATTTTAATTAGTGTCGCACCATTATGAGATCTATTTATAATATGATATAATATGATAACTGAACGTTATCTAAAAATAAATGAAAATAGGCACGCGATTGCGATTTGTACCCTCCTGGCGCTTGTTATGCAAGAAATGAAAACTACTGAAACCGATGAAGGTTGTTGTCCTACGCCAAGTTCTTCAAGATGCTACAGGGTGAACAAACAACATGAAACTAAGTGTTTTCTAAATTATTTACTTTCAGAAGAAAATTCATGGAAAATGAAGAGTTACGAAAATTTTGGAAATTCTGCATTTTTTTGATGACAATCAAAAAAAAATCAAAGCTTTTATTTTTGAAAAACTATCATATTTTTATAGTTTATGTATTATTATTTATCAATTTTCTGAAGTAAATACAGGGTGCCCCAGAACTCGCGCCCCAGAGAAAATTTTCAAGTAAGGTAAGATACCAGGAACATGAAAAAAATCTTTAAAAAATTCTATCTGCCAAAAAATTTTTACATTTATTTTTTGACATTTGAAATTTTTTTATATCTGTTTAATGATACTGATGATCTTGTATATTTTTTTTACAATTATTTAGTAAAGGGACAAAAATTTTGCCAATAAAAGCCACAAATAACATTGAACATTGTTATAATTTAGGACACAGCTTCCTTGTTTCCTCTTTTAATAGCTTATAGAAAAAACTTGGAAAATTATTTTTCCAACAGAAATAAATAGAGTCAAAGTGCAAACTTTAAACCCTCATAACTTCGAAATTTTTATAAATATTTTTTTTTTACATTTTTTCCATGTTCCTGGTATCTTACGTTATATGGCATTTTTCTCTGGGGCGCGAGTTCTGGCGTATCCTGCATATAGTTTAATAAGAAACTTATAATATTTATTTATCTTGTTGTAGCCAGGAACGAATTAGAGCAATTTGACTGAAAAAATCAGCATAAAACAGTCAGTTTCTGAAAGTTTACAATATTAAGCTTTTTGACCCTCAAGTGGGTCCGGCCTCAGTTTCCCGTCAATAGTAGGTTTCGCTCTATTCTCATTGTCGAAAATTCGTGACTGACCACGCCAAATGGTATAAAAGCCCATGGTTAAGCGTGACCAATTTAACCCAGTGCGAGTGTTACGTAAAGTTTGTGCATTGTATCCGATTGAGAAGTGTCCCATTGCACATCATTTCATATTGTAGCCGCCCATATGACTCACACTGAACTTTAACCAAACTGACCTTTCATATTTGTGTTTTGGGGTCTTGATAATCTGTTATCCTGTCTTGTAGAACATACACGATGAACTGGTCGCCTACACAAAAAAGTCGCATTTTTCACGCAATTATAAAACCGAGATGAAATCTGATAAATTAAAGCGAGTTTTTTAACAAAACAGTCATCAAAGAGCGCACTTTCATAATCGACAATAAAATTTACTTATTACGTCGCTGAACACCTTTTATGAAACGTTATCAAGATATCGAGGCACTTTAGACTTTTTTCAACTGCGGGTAAGTGACATTTCAGTGAAAGGTTCATTTTTAGAAAATAAATTCTTAAATTTAAGTACAGCTTTAGGAATTTCAGGGTTATTTATAAAGTCACTGCAATTATTTTAACTGTAAAATGTTCGGTTTCAAGCGCAGGTCGCGTGTAAATGCCATTCTGCAATCATATTTAATGTTTGAGACGAATCGGGATGAGGTATGCGACAAGAAGATGATTCTGAATATTCCAGATGTGCATTGCAGTGACTGCAGTTTCCATAAACGATGGAGAATTCTTAAGTAATAACTAATAGAAATTAAAAAAAAAGACAGAAAATATTTATAGTTTTATAGTAAAAATGTTTTGATTAAACAATCGAGTCATCTCGAGAGCAATCATTACGAAGTTAAGAAAGCTCCTGCGCAACACCAGCATCTCCGTTACGTAATCGGTGCTTTTAAATGAATGGGCGTTTGATGGTATGAACTTTTACGATGCGTCTTGTGTGTAATAAGTTATTGCGAACCTGGAGGCATCACAACAACAACAATCATTGTAATCCGATTACGTAGATTGAGGTCTTGAGTTCACGCCCATGATGAACCCCGCAAGGGTCAAATATTCACACTCATATACTGTCTGATTCGCGACGCAACTAGCGGAAGCAAGGGCAGATGGTAGATATGCACTTTAGAGCATCTATTTTAGAGCATCTATCATAGGCGCCGACAAAAAGTCGTTCTTTTACAGTAAATTGTTTAAAGTTTTTTTTTACTATAAATTATATGTGCCTGTTGTTATGGTGTACTTTGACTCAAAAGGGCTCTATTTTTTTAACAGAAATCATTAAAATGCGAGCGAGTTGAAAAAGTCCATTAGTGGTAAAATTAAAGAAAAATTATATAGGACATTGGTAGATACTAATCTAGGCCATCGCCTAAAATTATTTTCGTGTCTCAAAAATAAGTTACGATACAAACTTGTGTTTTTTTAAATAAAACACCATATGTTTCTTAGCGTTTTTGGATGTAGATTTATGACAATGTTTTTAAGCTAAACTTTTATTACCGATTTTGCTTAGTTTTAAAAGTAAGACGGTTTTTTTGACAAAAACATGCTCTCACAAAAACTAAGACATAGAAATATTTTTTTACTACCGCAAAGAAGAAGGTACGAACTATAAGGTTGTAACATTTTTTTAGTGTATTGCAATTGCAAAGATAAAAAAAATGAAGGCGTTTGTTAAAAGTTCAATAACTGAAAAGATATTTAACGTTAAAGATTAAAAAAAAATACTATTGTTTTAGTAGCCAAAAAGTGCACAGTTGCACAAGAGATGGAAGAAATATCACTTAATAATGCCATTTGTGTTAAACTGAATTCATTATTCTTTATTTTTACAATAAAATAATTCGAATTTCAGTATTTATAACGACTTTTACAATCTCTTGATAAATCAACGGAGAAGTGATCCGTGGTGGAATTACTATGGTTGCCATAGTATCAACAATGCTCAGATATTGATAGGCATTGTTGCCACAATTAATATTGAATGTTAAATATCTTTTCATTTATCAATTCTAGACATTAAAAGTTAATTTTTTTAGATAAACAATTTATCAATCTATTAGATGCAAAAATAAAAAAGGGTGTTCTATTTAAATTTTTAAGTTATTTAACTTTTAACAAACTTATTTTATTCTTATTTTATTAATCTTCACAAAAGCAAAACACTAAAAAATTGCTACAGCTTTAAATTCTGTACTTTCTTCTTTGCAGAAGTAAGAAAAACTTTGTTTTAGCTGTCTTAGTTTTGTGTAATAAATTTTTAAAGGGTGCATGATTTCGTCAAAAAAAACCTCTTATTTTTAAAACTAAGCGAAATCGACTAATAAAAGTTTAGCGTAAAATCATTGTTCTAAAAGGCTACATCCAAAAGAGCAAAGAAACATACGGTGTTTCAAATTAATTTAATTTTTAAATAAAAAAAACACAAGTAACTTATTTTTGAGACATGCTGTATGGTTGAAAATAATTTTAGATGATGCACTAGATTAGTATCTATCAATGTCCTATACAATTTTTTTAAATTTTATCATTTAAAGGTCACTAATGGACTTTTTCAACTCGCTAAGACAACATGTAAGTATAAGTTTTTACAATTTCAGACGAAAAGTTTTTGAGGAAAAAAAAATACTCTCTGGGATAAAATAGTTATTTGTATTACAAGAGAGGAAAGTGTATTTTTTCCTCCCGCGTGTGGAAGTAACTGCCCGAGACTTCTCGACAGCAGTAATCACTCAGGAAGGAAAAAAAACACTTTCCTCCAGTCTAATACAAATAATTTATAATTTAGGTATAATAAAAATAAGAATTTTTCTTGATATTACAGTTTCGCCATTAAATCTAGCAGCATGTTTTTTCATTTTTATGGAGGAGGTAAATTTTTACCTTCCTGAGTGATTACAAATATGTTTAATGTAATTTTAACAGATAAGGGAAGAAAATTTTTACTTGCCTGGGAAGTAAAATGTCACTTTACTTTCTGAAATTAGGGTGAAAAAGAAAAAATCGTGTTTTTTTGTTTTGAATCGTTTTTTTTTAAAGAAATTAATTACAAAGCACTATCTCAAATTCTCAAACAAAAGTAAATTTTTGTTTCACTATGAAAAAATATTTCTTTTAATTTTATTGCAATACCATGAAATTTAAAAGTGGCGAGACGGCAGGTGCCTCACTAGGTACATACACAGATTTTCTTGTGAGGTGCTTGAGCCCAGAGGCATTAAATAAGTCGGCGCCTATGTTATCTATTACTTGTCAGTCTTGAAAAGGAATTCTGCGAAATACGGGAGATGATGGTTGCCGGTGCCGATATCCGGTGCATGATGGATAATCAGCTTAGGATTTCCTGTTTAAACTTTTACATGTTTTTGCAAAATTCCTGCAATTATTTTTATAATTGAACTTTCAAGAGAGCAGGGAGAAGAGAAGCAGCGGAATGAGTAAATGAAATAAACAGTTGTAGCTAAAAGATTTATTGAAAATAATTTTACAAATAAATAAATTGCACACACCTTCCTTTTCTAAAACAATACCTACTCGTATAATTAAATCAGAAATTTTAAATAATAAAATTTGTTGTTTTTTGCGAATCGAGAAAATTGTTTTGGGTGCGATGCTCACGTCGTGTCTCGGTCTGCTCTTCTAGTTTCCTTTTGGAGGCCTCGGATGACCCTGTTGGGCGTGCAGATGGTAATTACGGTCCCGCATAATGGACACTTAACGCCTTCAGCGACCGATACTTTACAAATGGAAATACAATGCAACAACCTTTTCTTCCTCGTCCATCCATAAATCTGAGAATAATGATTTTAAATGACCACGAAATGTCAAAATTATTTACATCGCAGTCCAATCATTATCAATTAGAGCCGTGCCGGTTTGTCCATCGATGGAAAGCAGGACCGGCATCGGAGCATGAAGTTTTTTGCGTACGCCGGAGATCCACTTCATAAAACGTACGCAGGCACCGACTCAGTGCAACACTTTCACCTCCCCGATTAGGTTATTTATATCAGAAATAGTGGCACGCGTTCACAAGAAAGGACTAATTATTTTTAATAGTCTTTATGTAACTCGATCGACGTCCTCTCTCTAATGCGAAGCGGTGTCGGGTTGCACGGCTACGATCTCCTTCTAATCGAGCTGCTTTCATTAATAACTTGGCTTTTATTCCTTGACGTTGGCTAATGGGGAACGAGATATGAATTATTAAAAGAAGCATTGTTTCTGGGACATTTTTGCGTCTACGGTGATGCCTACGAGCACATGTGGACACGTCCAAGTTGACATCTTAAATCGTCTAGGATGGTGGGTGAAGCTGCTTAAAGCTGTGTAAAGTTTGGAAATAAACATGCTTTCGTCCCATTAAGAAAACATGTATTCGAAGGAGTGCTGTTCTCTTGCTTTTATTGTTTCAAATCATTGCAGGTGTTAGGTATAACAAACGTATTTAGAGAAAAACTGACATAATTATACATAATTAATATGTAACCATAATCGAAACATTCAGGTTCCATTTCAGTTTTTTTTTACCTTGCATGTGGTTTTTGTTATTATACCCACTTAAAAAATTATCGGAAAGCTAATAGTTCCGAGGATAGTTCTTTCTGATAGCACTTGCAGTATGGATTTAGATTTATGAAAAAAAAACTTACAAATTTTTAATCCGTATCCGTATAAATACTTGTCATTATATCTCCTTTTTTAATCTCCGCTCTAATTTTAATTATTATATTTGTTTGCATATCAGTTAATTTTAAAATTTTGTTTTACAATTTTTTTGTTGTGTTTGTTATTTTTGATCAAAAATTATTAAAAAAAAAATTAAAATAATCTTATTAGTATTACCCTTCGATTGATTAAAGTAAATCATTCAAATGTAAATCAGTTCATTCAAATTTGTAAATCGAGATCGTAGTTTAAATTCGAGCGACCGTTATTAAGGAGCAAAAATTTAGTAGATCGAGAATTTTAAACTATAAAATTTAAAAATTACTTTGTATACGCTCCAGAAAATAGCTGTTTCAACTCAAATAATAAGGCTCTATAATGAGTTTTTTTCGGGCTCAATAAAATAGTACGCAAAATGGTTATTTTAGCTACTCAGTACACAAAATACAGTTTTTCCGGACGAAAAACTCAATTTGATTATTACGGTGTAATTTTTTTTTAACTAAATATGAATTCGTTTTTTTGGGAACTTTAACAAAAAAATGTTGTCGTAACACGTAGTCTGTTTTTTTAATGGAAATGCCAAACAGTCTACGTTGGCAGCAGTAGTAAATTCATTCATGGTAATTATAATAAAAGAAGTTGACAGTTCCGATTTTTTGAAAACAATGTCACTAGTCGTCAACACAAAAAATCGTTTAAGAAAATTTGGAGACAAAACACCAAAAAGGGAACAAATTCGGTACCGCTAACAGTTTTTGGAAATTTGGAAATGAATAGTTCGCAAGCAGGAAGTTAGAAAAAAAGCCCGTTAAAATGTAGACGCAATTTGTAATGCAAGTTTGGTAAACTTTCTCAGTTTTTAGCGAGAAATTAACAAAAACACAAAATAAACATGAATGGAAAAAAATATTACATACTGGCAAATGAACTATTTTTTTCTAGAAGAAAATAGTTCTTCATGAACAAAATTTTGAGAACAAATTAAAGATGTCATGTCATGTAATGATTACAATTTCAGAGTATTTTTAAAAATACATAGCAAATAAGAACTATGGGTTTACATAATTATGAAGGTTCTTTTAGACAAACTTGACGAAATTTGAGAAAAACTAAACACAACTTTTTAAATTTTCTTAATTTTTAATGTAGATATTTTTTAGGATTTTTTTGGTATTTTTTGCAAGAAAAAATTTTTAGAACCAAAATGTTTCTATTTAGAAATTGTCAAAATACCAGCAGTAATTCTTTAGATATATATTTCCCTGCTGTTTTCTGCAAATTTATGTTCTCTAAAAATAAATAAAGTCGTATTGTCTCAAATAAATAAGAATATAAGTGACACAATTAAGAAAAAGTGGTATAATTTAGAATGTAATATAATATTAAATAATTAAACATTAAAAAAATCTAGTTATTTCTTGGAGATAATTATTTATTCACAATCACAAATGTAATATGCCGATTACTAACCTTTTAAAGGTTGGGAAACACATCATTTAATCGCATAAGGAATAATATACGTAATATTACTTCTTTCGCGGTTATGTGCAGGATAAACAACCTTAAAATTACAAAAATACCGGGATTTTTTTCTTTCAAATTGTCAAGTTACACATAATATTTTGCTAAATTAGTATTCAATTGCTTTTGTAGCAAGTTTCTTTTACTTCTAGGGGAGTACACTGCTCCATTTTGACGATTTTAAATCATATTTACACAATATTTCAATATTTTTTTGACATTTTTGAAATGTCAAAAATCAAACGCCATTTGGATGGCCTCCCATGTTTGGAGCTTAACTTTGTTAGAATTTAGTTTACTCAAATTTTTGACTAAAAATAATGTAATTGTGAATAAAATAGGATACAAACCTCGGCGGTAATAGCATTACCCCTTATTGTGCTTTATCTGATCTTGAGGCTGGCGCATTTCGATCGCATACATATTGTCGTATCAACAAGAAATTACTCCCTAGGATTTAGGGATATTCGGAATAGGTCGCCATAAATTTGGTTAGGTTGGTTTTTGGTGACAAACAAAAGATATCATGACCATTGTCAAAATGTAGGTTAAGTCACCTATCAGCTTGTATGGATAATTCAATTGATAGTTGATAGCAGGTTGACAGAAAACGTCAACCGTCAACTACAAGGGGTAACCAACCCTAAGCATTTAAAATTACTTCTGAAAATTCTAGTTATAAACAACATGAAAAACGTAATTTTCCTAAAAGTTCAAATCCTAGGTGGTAATTTCTTGTTGACAAATCTGTAAGCACTCGGGGTAATGCCATATTTACCACGCCGCTTCTAATGTACTATTAAAACGTTGTTTATTAAATATAACATCATTCATTACTCATTATCAAATTGTTCCATTTTACTAGATATTTATTAATATTTATGTAATTTGTTTATACGTTTACAACTAATATTTTCAATGAATTCATCATCTGTTAGCTAGATATTATTTGTATATTATCACCGGAAAATCATGTTTTCTTTATGTTTTATTAAACTTACTGCAAAAATGCTTCCCATAACCGTAAACAAAGCACACGTCCTGCAGAAATTACAAGCGGCTTGGAAATACAAGTTGTAAGACAATAAAATTGCGAAAATCGCCGATTCTTCCTCAATTGCGGTTCACCCGGCCCGTTAGGCCTTTTTATTCAATAAATTTTTGTCTTCTCGCAACATTTACTCTTTGTAATTCCATCGGCGTAATAAAAATATCATAAGGATATCCTGCACGCATCAGGATGTCCTCCGGCTGTCGTTCGCTGGCAATAAATCTCGATTGGCTCGTGAAAAACCCAGTCCGATTGTGTCAAAGGACATTACCGTCTCTGATTCTGCGATTATCCTGCTATACCAACATTTGCTTTCTAACGGGCGGGGTCGACCTACGCAATAAACTACTTGTTACCTTTTTGTTCGCTCGCTTGTGCTACCATTGTAAAGTGCTACCATTTAATAACAATAGCCTTCGGATCGATTATACGCTCCCATTTTTTCGCCGATTGGCATTGCTCGAGATGAAAAATTTGACGAATGCCGATCGGCCTATGCTTTGTCTTATCGCGACCATCTGGGTTTGTGGCGCAATAGGAAACTCTCTCTTAACTCGAGGTTTAATAATGTATGCAAAAAATGAGAGATAATCATCCAAATTCGGTTATAGTTACATCTGCTAATGGATGTAGAAATGTTAAGGATTTCGACGTGTCGGTGTTTTAACTAGCAGACATCTTAATAGATTCGGTGAACGAAGACAGGAATGCACTTGCAGAATCCTAATGTGATTAATTGGAAAATTCATTTTTTTTCTTTTGTGGAGGTTTTTCTCGTCTCCAGCCTTGACTTTGTGGGTTTACCAATATGATTTTATCAGTGATGAATCTGCTTATTTGTTACTATATGCAAATTAACTTATTACTTATTCACGTTAGAAGCAATTTCAATTTTTTCTGACAGCAAAATTATTGAGATTATTCTTGACTAAGCTCATATGTTACAGTTATTAACCTGGGTTACAAATTTCCGCTTAGTCTTTCACTTATGTTATATCACAAATTATTCAAATCCATGCATTTGAAGTATTGATTAAGTATTTTTATTCCCACAAATGAGCAAGCAGTTGCGCTTATTATTTATGTGGCAGATATGAGCATAGGCGGAATATTATTTCGTTAAAAACAAGCGATAAAATTCTGTAAAATTCTGAATTCCGTCATCTATTTTCCCACGTTTCTTGATGAGGATATTGCCATCCTCAAGACTTCAAGGAAGACTTTACTTACAAACGATTGAAAAAAAATAAAATTATAATAATAATAGTTAATTTTAGTTATTTTACAAATAATTCTAAAATGACCTAGCAAAATCGAGTAAGTCTATAAATAAAAATAAGTATTGTAATTTTCTTAAAGTATTTACTTGTAAAAAAATATTAATTTATGTGTTTGATATAGCGAAAATTATGTCAAAAATTCACATAAAACTGCTTGATTTAGTAAACTGATCCAGCCTTGTTTTAACACCGAAATTAACACTTTTATTACAAAAATGTTTTTATTAGCATTCTTGACACGAGTTGTATCAACACTTGAATTATTTACAGTCATAATCTACCTACCCATCTGTAAGACACCTTGTAAATTATTGTTTAGCTTTTTCTAATTTAAATAAACAGATTTTAGTGGCGTTCCAAATTTCAGAAATGTGGTTTTTCAAACTGTTGGAATGTACCTACAAAAATTTTCCAACAATGATAAATCATTTTTTGTGATTTATTAGATCCGG